TATGACAAAGATTTCAGCAGTCATTATAACAACAAAAAAATTAACAAAAGGAACTTGATTAAGCTGAAAAATCTGTACAGCTAAGGACACAACAAGTAAAGCCAAAAGATAACCTTCAGAACGGGAATAGATATTTTCAGGGTATGAATCTGACAAACAGTTAATAACTAGAATCTACAAAGAATTCAAATTAATCAACAAAACAAGAGGAAACAATCCTATCTACCTCTGGGCAAGAGATATGAACAGAACCTTCTCTGACAAAGATAAACAAATGATTAATGTTTAAAGAAATGTTCCTTGTCCCTGATCATCAGAAAATTGCAAATCAAAAGCACCCTGAGATATCACCTAACCCCAGAGAATACCCCTCATCACAAAGTCTCAAAGCTTCAGATGGTGGTGTGGATGTGGAGAGAATGGAACACTTTTACACTGCTGGTGGGACTGCAAATACAACCTTTCTGGAGGAAAGTATGGAGAATCCTCAATAATTCAAAGTAGACTTCCCATTTGATTCTGCAATTACTAGGCATCCTCTCTGAAGAAAAAAAAAAAGAAAACCTAAATAGTCACCAACCCAGGAATGGATTAACAAGCTGTGATATATGTATATTTACATCTTTTGTATTAACCTGCATTGAGTTGCATCACATTCTTCATAGTAAAGCATCACAAGAATGGAGAAGCAGTGTACTGAATTCTAATTAAAGGCAGTAGATGGGGGGTAGGGGAATGAGGGATCTGGGACAGGGAAGGAGGGAGGGGTGTATGGAACACCTCTTGGGAACAGGACACAATTGCAAGAGGGACTTTACCTAACAACTGCAATCACTGTAACCAAATTCTTTGTACACTCAATGAATCCCAAACAATAAAAAAAAAAAAATCAAAATAAAGTTCTGTGCTGAAATGTTAAAAAATATTTAAAAATGTAAAAGGAGAAAGATAATAAATTCTGGAGAGGATGTGCAGGAAAGGAAACCATGGTGGTAGTAATATAAATTTAGCCTTTATTAAAAACAGTCTGGAGGTTCCTCAAATAGTTAAAAATTGAGTGACTACATGGTCCTATAATCTTATTACTGGGTATTTGCATATATACAGAGGAAATGAAACCAATGTGTCAAAGAGGTATCTGCACTCTCATTTTCATTTCAGCATTATTCATAATAGCTAAGGAATCAACTTAACTGTCTTTCAATGAATGAATGAATAAAATAATCTGTTATGGATGCACAAGGGAATACTATAGAATGTATATAGTTGACATAAATCCTTAAATATATAAGTCTAAATTTTAAGTGTAACTAACTATATTTTAAAATTAACTTATATTGGAGATTGGTTTTTTTCCAGTGGAAAAAACACATGACAGAACAACAGTCTTGATAGCCTTCAAAAGAGAATTTTAAAAAGTAGGGGAAAAAAGCATATCAATCATCATAAATATTAATAATTGACATGATGGCATAATAAGAACTTATACCAGGAATAGTCATAACTGTTCTGTTACTAAAGAGAAACTCACCTTGTAAAACATCCCGCTAGCTGCTATTTACATGTCCTTATCAGCAGTAATCAAAACACAATCTTTGAACTAAAATCAGTAACAATTCACATTTTTGCTGGTACAAAGTAATAACTTGGTACTTTTTATTCCATATGAAAGGGAGAAGAAGTCCCTGACATCCAGGATCAGGTAGCCTTTGTATCATCAGTGAGACCTGGGTTTTTCTATGAGTTGGCCTGTCCCTTAAAGATGAACCTTGTTCTTCTTTTGTTGAACGTAAACTTTCTTTTTTTGTGTGTGTGAACATAAACTTTCATAAAAGGTCAGAATCAGAGTAGGCAATTCCATGATTATGATAGGTCAAAAAAGAAGAACAAGGACACTCTTTAATGATGTCTGAACACAGACAAAATTTGAACATTGTTTCAGTCATTAAAATGACTAAGTGTTCTCTGATCCCAGCTGAGTAATTGCTGCTTCCTTATCAGTTTCAGTTTTAGCAATGGGCTAATATTTTCTCATTTTAGATAAGAATTATTAAAATACCCAGCCATAAAATTGCTCCTTGAATCTTTACAGCATTCAATCTAGAGTGAAGTCTATCTTCCTTTAACTCCAAATCACTTAACACAACCCTGAATCTTATAATTTGTTATATTCATACCTTTCTACTTGAGTATACCATGATTACCCATGGTGTATGTTCTCTTTTGCCTCAACAAGCAATAAAGATAACTTGTTCAACAATAGATATGTTTTTAAGTGGTCTTCATCAGAATGTCATTGACGATTATATCTTCATAACTATGTTCAATTTTACCCAAATAGTAGCTCTGTTTTGTGAACCAAATCACTCATACACATGTGGGTATGGGCACTTATTTATTCCTTTATTAATAAATATTACCAGTGATAAATATTTGAAAAAGTAAATGAGGTGAAAGCTATGTTAATTAGTAGGATGTAAGCACTCCAATTTGTACAAATAATCAAAACATTGAATCCGAAAAAGGCATAAATGTATTCATTATCTATGTATATATGACTTAATAAAAAAAAGTTTAAAAATAATGTTTTCTTCAGAATAAATTATGGAATAAAAACAAACAAAACCCCACAATATATAATGAGATGTATCTGAAAAAAAGAACAAATCCATAAGCTTTAACATTATCAATAAAATATCAGAGGAAAGTCTTACACAGTGGAAGTCTTGGTAATAAAGACATAAAATCAAACAGTCCTAAAGGAAAAAAGAACATGACATGTTATTCAAAATAACAGGCATCATTAACAGAACAAATAATAGACTGCAAAGAAATGTTATAAATATATTTTTTAAACAATGAACTGGTATTAAAGTATAAAGTTTGTTCATATCATTTAATAGGGAAAGGAAAATAAAAACAAAAAGTTCTGCTATACAGAATAATCAAAATACTCAATTATTTAGTTTAAAAATAAAATTTCACAGAATAAATGAAAATTTATACACAAACTCTCTGGTAATTGGGGAAGTGATAATGAAAACTTTTAGAGCATTTCTTCCAATTATCTTATTATAAATCACACTCAATATCAATATTTAACTTTGGAAGGTTAAACGCTAAAATATACAAAATAATTACCCCTAGAGAATCTGGAGAGTATAACTACAACTTTAACTGATGCTCCATAATTTTTACAGTGGTTTTATAAATATACATTTATGCACATATACATATAAGTTAAAGCAAACAAAAAATCCAAAATGAATACATCTTAAAACTACAACTCTGAGTAAATAGAAATGTTTAAATAGAAAAAAATTAAGAATATAAAAGTATGGCATATGAAGTCTGAATATTATGATGGTCACCTTTGAAATACTCCCGTTGGCTATGTGGTAATGGTAGTGATATTCAACAATGAGGTATGGAGCACTTTTTCTAGGATTAGTTCGCGAACTTCTTTGTCAGGTCTTGTGCAATGTTAGCTCTGATGGCAATTTCAGAAAAAGAGTTCCAGAATTGCTTTGAAAGGTGGACTAGATACTGGCTTCAGAGGATAGCTTCCCAGGGGGAGTACCTCGAAGGTGACTATAGTGATATTCAACAATGAGATTTTCAGGAATTTTTCTAGGGTGAGTTCACAAGCTTAATTGTCTAACCTCATAAGTGCAAGGAAATTATATGAACAATATTTATTTTTAATGCTCTTTAAATTATCCCTTAATTTGAATAATAGTTGACTGCCACTGGCTTTGTAAAAATATGGGGCAGTGCCTGTGGCTCAAAGGAGTAGAGCACTGGCCCCATGTGATAGAGGTGGTGGGTTCAAACCCAGGCCCAGCCAAAAATTGCAAAAAATAAATATATGTATTTATTATATATATACTCTATGTATGGGCATTTCCTTTTTCATTAATTTCTATTATATTAAAACATAATCTATAAATACATCGTAATATACTAAATATATTTTATTATACTTGTTGCTTCATTCTACCTTAAGATTACTTACAATTAAAATATTCAGTATAACCGGGTGTTGTGGTGGGAGCCTGTGGTTCCAGCTACTTGGGAGGCTGAGGAAGGTGACTCACTTGAGCCCAGGAGTTGGAGGTTGCTGTGAGCTGTGATGCCATGGCACTCTACCCAGGGGGACAGCTTGAGGCTCTGTCTAAAAAAAAAATGCAAACAATATTCAATAAGCAAATTACAAACAAGACAATTGAGGAAAGTTTGATTCCCCTGGAAACTCACCTTTTTTCTCATAAGGATATGAGAAATTCCATGATGGTAATTTATGAGCTAATTACCAAATATTTTAGCTAATAAATGCTACTGATCAACTGCTTTTTAAAATTACTTTATTAAATCATAACTGTGTATAGTAATGCATTTGTGGGGTACAATGTGCTGATTTGATATACAATTTGGAATGTTTGCTCAAACTGTTTAACAAACTTCACCTCACTTATTTGTTGTGTCAAGACATTTATACTCTACTCTTAATAGTTTTGACATGTACCCTTGCATTGTGCATAATAGGTGAGGTCCTACCAATTACTGTACCTCCTCCCAGCCTCCCACACCCTTCCCTCCTCTCTCCTCTTCCCTCCTTCATTCTGGAATAGTTGTGTGTTATCATTTGTGTGAAACTGTGGGTGATTATATATTAGTTTCCTAATAGTATTGAGTACATTGTATACTTTTTCTTCCATACTTGAGATACTTTACTAAGAAGAATATGTTCCAGCTCCACCCAAGTAAACATAAAAGGTGTAAAGTTTCAACTGCTATCTTAGATATTATTTATTTAGTTCTTACATTTGTTTGTAGCTTTGGACACCCTAGAAATGATAAAATAGTAAAGCTTCATTTAATAAAATTAGACTGCATAATTAAAAAGTTAAACATAACAGAATCTTAAATTGAAACTTGTCATTAAGAATCAAGAGCTCTTAAGTGATTGAAATACAATAATGTTTCTTTTTAAAATTTAGGAATGTCAATTTAAAAACTGCTGTGATTATAAGACATGTAAACTGAAAGGCTCAGTAAGATGTGGTTCTGGACCATGTTGTACACCAAAATGCGAGGTAAGTTGCCAACTTTTGTAGAAAGGAAACTAAACTGTGATAATAGAAGGCTGTATTAACTGAATCAATGTGGAATTGATAAAATAATATGGAAGTAATTCAGTTAAACAATACAGAGTGCATAATCAAATACTAATAAATATGAAACATTATGAAATTAAAAAGTCATATTAGACTAGTGCTGACTACAGTCTTATCTCTGTATTCTGCATCTGTGGAATCCACCAGGTGAGGATATTCTTCTTAGGAAAGTATCTCAAGAATGGAAGAAAAGTATCCAATGTGCTCAGCTCTACTATGAACCCAATGTATAAACACCCACACTTCCATATGAAAGCTATAACCCAACTACAGCCCAAGATGAAGGGGAGAGAGGAGCAGGAAGGGAGAGGGGAGGATGGGTGGAGGGAGGTTAATTGGTGGGATCATACCTATGGGGCATTTTACAAGGGTACATGCTAAATCTACTAAGTGTCAAATATAAATGTCTTAACATAGTAACTAAGAAAATGCAGTGTTAACCAGTTTGATGAAAGTATTTCAAATTGTATATAAAACCAGCACATTGTACCCCATAACTGCACTAATGTACACAGCTATAATTTAATTAAAAAATTATAAAAAAATAAAAATAATAGGGTGGCACCTGTGGCTCAAAAGGGTAAGGCACTGGCCCTATATGCCAAAAGTGGTGGGTTCAAATCCAGCCCTAGCCAAAAAAAAAAAAAAAAAGAAAAAGAAAAAGAAAAATAATAAACAGTTCCATCTATACTAAACATGTGGAGACTTTTTTGGTTATTATTCTCTAAACAATACAGTATAACTATTTATATAACATTTACAGTATGTTAGGCAATGTAAATAATCTAGAGATGACTTGTAGTATGTGGGAGGATATGTTGGTTACATACAAATACTACACCATCTTGTATAATGGATGAGCATCTGTGGGTTTTTGTATCCCAGGGGGTTCTGGAACTGATCTCCCATGGGCACCAAGAAATGACTATATTCTTTAGTGTTGAAACCACAAAGGTTACCATGTCCTGAACTGAGATAAAGAGGACAATATCCCATACATTTATTATATAAAAAATTATTAACTCTCAAATCATCAAGTCAAATAAATGATAAATGAGTAATTATTAAAAATTATAAAATGAATAGCTGACAAAATATGTACAATACAGATTATGAAAAAAATTCTTACATATTTATAAGTAAAATGCACATCACACACATAATAGAAGGAAGCGACATTCATTGATACAGGAATAGGTATTGTATATGGTACAAGAATTAGTAAATATGGGCTAAATATTCATGTATAAATGTAATATTATCTTCATGACATACATTTGGACAAGAAGGAAAGTTCCATAATGCAAATTATGTTTTGTTTTGTTTTGTTTTTTGAGACAGAGTCTCACTATGTCGCCCTTGGTAAAGTGCTTGGCATCACAGCTCACATTAACTTCAAACTCTTGGGCTTGAGCGACTCTCTGGCCTCAGCCTCCCAAAGGCTGGGACTACAGGTACCCGTTACAGAGTGTGACTATTTTTTGTCACAGTTGTCATTCATTGCTGGCCCAAGCCGGGTTCGAACTGCCACCCTCAGTGTAGGTGGCTGACACTGTAATCAATGTGCTACAGGTGCCAAGCCAAATTATGTATAATTTTAATTCTGCTAAAATCACCACCTGTATGGAAATATATTAAATATGATTTTTACTCAATTTTTCTATTAAGGTATAATTTATTATAATACAATAAAATTCTGTTAGCGATTATTTCTAAGAACTAGAACAAACTTATAACTCTCATCATAATCAACGGTAGGTGATTCCTTCACTCCCACACACAAAAAATTTCCCTGGTGCTCTTTGTAGTCAATTCATACTTCTACCTAGAGCCCCTTGTAAGCACTGATCTGTTTTCTACACCTATACTTGTGCTTTTGCAAAAATATCGCACAAATTGAATCATATGATATCTGAAAACATGAATTATACATCTTAGCATAATGCATTTGAGATTTATTCATGTTGTGATGTTTATAATAACTTAATTCCTTTTTGTTACTGAATAATATTGCAAGTGTTATAAGGATATACCACACAATTGTAGTAGTATACCCAAGTAAATGTAAGAGAAAGAGATTGTGCATCTCACCCACACACATAGCTAGTAAGTGTCAGAACAAGGGACTGAAAGCAAATGTTCAGGATCTGGGTCTCTTCATGAACAAACAGGTAGAGGCAATATATTCTTCTATGTTGATAGAACAAGGCTGTTCATCTGTTTCATATATTTCCAAATGCTAGTTGAATCAGATTGCTTCAAGATGTGAAATTTAATACAGGTAGGCATTTGAAAATCCTCTGTCAGAAGGGATTCTTTTATATCTTTGAGACAGATACTTTTTTCCGGGATTCACAATGAACACTGTACCTGTTCTTTTGGGGTTTTTGTTGTTGTTGCTGTTGTTGTTTGTTTGTTTGTTTGTTTGTTTGTTTTAGATAACTCACACCTTTGGTAACTCTGTTATTCCCTCAAAATCAGTATTAATATATTTTATTTGACAAGTCTCTTCAGTTAGAAATTGAGAAAAGTAATTCACAGAACATGATTTTCCATTTCTTTTGCCTTCTAGTTATCAATAGCAGGCAGTCCATGTAGAAACAGTACTGATGAAGAGTGTGACTTTACAGAGTATTGCAACGGAACATCTAGTGAATGTGTTCCTGACACTTATGCATTGAATGGCCATTTGTGCAGGCTGGGAACTGCATATTGTTATAATGGACAGTGCCAAACTCCTGATAATCAGTGTGCCAAGGTGTTTGGAAAAGGTATTATACTTTCTTTTATTTTTCTATTACCTTAAATTTGAATCTGTGTGTGTATCTATATATATTATATATTACACAACTATAGTAGAGGAAGAACCTGAGCCACTAGTTTAATAAAGGCTGAACTTAGCCTAAAATCCCAGCACTCTGGGAGGCTGAGGAAGATAAATGCTTGAGCTCAGGAGTTGGAGACCAGCCTGAGCCAGTGAGAGACCTCTGTCCCTAAAAATAGCCAGGTATTATGGCAGCAATCATAGTAACTGGAGAGGCTAATGCAAGAGAATCTCTTGAGCCCAAGAGTTTGAGGTTGCTGTGAGCTACTATGCCATGATACTCTACGGAGGGTGACAAAATAAAACTCTGTCTCAAAAAAAAAAAAATTAAATTTGAATTCAAGAAGGCAGTTTTTGTAGAAGTGTTCAAGATTTTCCAAGAATACTACTGCCTGTTCCTTTTCTCATACCTTGATTTTTATTTTTAGTGGTTAGATATCTGAGCAAAAGTTTGTATTTGTAGCTGATAATTTGTATAAAGATTGGAAAGGTCAATCAGTAGATTATGAAATTTCAATTTTCTTATTTCCCACATTCACGAGCTATTGTTAAGAGCATGAAACTTAGAATGCTCAGAGTGAATTTCATCTTATTTTCTTGTTGAAGAATAACTTTTAGGGTAACAGTAGTCATAAGCCATATGGTCAAAATTCATTTTTATTATTTTTATTTCAGATAGCTTTGAGAGTAATTCTAATAAAACCCATGAATAAATGTTTGCTTTTTTGGTGAGCAATTATTCATAATATCCTAATATGATTTTTAATTTTAAAGGAATTAAAATAATTTGAACAATATATCAAAATTATCTAGTGAAATGCATTCAAATATAATTTTTGCTAACTAAATAAAGGTAGTATAACACCAAATATCAGGTATTTGCCTGGCTGTAAGCCAAGGAGTGTAGTTTGTACCAAATGACATGGTATGTGGTCCACATCGTCTTCCTAATTATTTTAAACTTGTCTTAGTAATACATTTCAGATTAGGTAACTTAACCAAAATTTAACCAGACCTGCAGAACTGTGGTATCTTATATGCTGTGTTTTGAGGATTCTATTTTTTGTTTGACATTCACTCGTGTGTGTTTTCTTTTCTCATTTTTTAAAATTAGTTCATGAGCCCTTCAATACAAGACTTTTGAATTAATCCAATCATTCAAAGAGTCAGAAAAGAGCAAAAGCTATTTTGTTTTTCTTAATGTTTATTTGAATATTATTTTTGTTACTGTCACAGTAACTTTTCATCAGGGCTTAACACATCTCTTAAAAATAAAAATAAAGAATATTTTCTGCAAAATCCATTAAAAGGAGATCTAGTATATATTTTCTATATTTATAATAGAAAAATCAGTTTCTTGATATTTGATATCTTTTTGAATTCTAATTGCAACAAACGTTTAGGAAAGGCGTAACAATTCATGCATATTACTTCCTCTATTATATGCTACAGTATCCCCACTCAACTGACACAAAAGGGTCAAAAAATTCATCTTCTGATGCAGTTCATTCATTTATTCATTCCTCCTTGATTTGCTTACATGGCCCCTTATCTTCAGACAGTTTTCTTCTTAAATTACCAAAACATAGGAGAAAGTAAGTAGTCTACTGTGAAGCAACCCCCAGCAAAGCAGAGCCTCTAGGTTTCTGAGCATGCCACAGAGAGAAGACATAGATGCTGGGAGTAATACAACTGTACAATTGAGCATCCTGGAGGGCCATAAACTGTTAGAGTACAGTAGTGCAGCACTGATTCCAGGTTCTAATGGATTAATGGAGATTCAAGCAAAGAAGTGTAAGGAAAAAATTACATAGAGAAAGCAACAAAACATGCTACAATGTATAGCGGGATGTGCAGATATGACTGTCTTTCTGGGTTGATGTATCTTGGTATGGGGAACACATGCTTGGACACCTGCCATTTGCTGGTCTGGCTAGGATCTACCTTAGCTATTTCTGTGTAGCTGAGAGATTTTTTTTGTTGTGCATATGGTTGCAACCATTGCTGCTGATGCATATGCCCTATTGCTCACTGTGCATGTAATTGTAACTTTGTTACAGTCACACATGCCTAACCAGTGTCACAGGTCAGCAACTTTTGCCACTGCCTTGGACATCTTGTTCTTTATGCGTATCTTGAGATGTCTTTCTTACGTGTTTCCCACACATATAACATATGGCTAATGATGTTTTACTTTATCTCAGTCACAGTCATGTAGTAAGCAAATAAACAAAACTTTAGGCATAATGAGAATTGCAGAGATTATACATTTCTCCACAATCATTGATTTCATACATGATAGCTAAAAGAGATTATACATTACTCCACAAACATTATTTCATACATGATAGCTGAAATTTGTTCTCCCATACTACTTGTGACACATATGAATTAACATGTAGTTTCATGAATTTTGCATTCTTTCCTTAAGTAAACTTAAACTTTTAAAATTATTTTATTAAAAAACTGAGTATTTTTATGCAGAGAGCTGGACAGTATCCCAGGACAGACATAGGCATATGGTTGTATTTAGGGAGCTATGATCATGAGATAAAGAAAGAAAAAGCACAAAAGAAATATTAAACTTGTAGTTGTGCTATGTGCATTTAAAGGAATAAAAATAGAATGCTGAAACAAAAATAAGGAATAGAGAAAAAGGGATATATTGCCAGTAGTTATTCAGATAGTCTTCATCTATCAATGCCTTCAAAATTTACCTCAACTGCTCAGACACCTTACCCAGAAGCACACGCTTTCCAGGGTAACATATATGCAATGAATAGCTTAAGTGAGGGTTTCACACAAAATCCTGCCTATGTTGACCCCCAGAAGTGTTCCTTTCCTTAAGATTGCTTTGTCTGTTCAGGCTCCTTTCTAGATGCAAACAATACACAGAAGTATTTTTTCTAGATAGATGAAGTATGATGGTGGTGTTTTGATGGGGATTTCATCAAATCTGTAAATCACTTTGGGTAGTGTGGATATTTTAGCAATGTTGGTTCCACCAGTCTATGAGCATGTGGCACCAGTCTATGAGCAGTCTAGAAACATTTGGCATTTATTTCTGTCCTCTGAGATTTCTTTTCTCAGTGTTTCCCAGTTTTCCTTGTTAACATCTTTCACCTCTTTGGTTAAGTATATTCCTAGGTCTTATTTTCTTTGTATCTATTGTGAATGGTATTGAAGCTTTATTTGACTCTCAGCTTGACTGCTATTGGTATATAGAAATACTACTAATTTATGGACATTAATTTTGTAACCTGAGTCATGGCTGAATTTGTTTTATCATATATAGGAGTCTCTTCATGGAATCTTTAGGGTTTGCTAAATATAAGATCATACCATCAGTGAAAAGTGATAGTTCAACCTCTTCTTTCCTGACTTATATGTGCTTTATTCCTTTTTCTTGCCTGATTGCTTTGGCTAGGAGTTCCAGCACTATGTTGAATAGAAGTGGAGAAAGGGGGCAGCCTTGTCTCATTCTAGATTTTAGGGGGAATTATTTTAGCTTTTCCTCTTTTGGCATGATGTTGCTTGTGGATTTGCCATGTATGGCTTTTATAAGTTTGAAATGTGGCATGGGATACCCAGCTTGTTGAGAGTTTTTATCATGAAAGAGTGCTAGATTTTTGGCCCAATCTGACACACACCAGCATACTATTTATACTGTAAAGTTACCCATGGTCCTCACTGGGTTTGGATCTAAGTTGACTTCTTGGCTCCATCTTGTTTCTCCTCCCCTTCCAGATGTTATGGACACTAATAAATAGTCTTCATATCATACCTCATTTAGATGCTGGCTTCTAGAGGCCCCAACCACCAACAGTTAGTACTAAGAGTAATGTGAGTACATAGTCTTAAAGATAAATTTTCAAACCAAGTAACTTTTTGCCAAGCTGTGAATGAGCACCCTAAGATGAGCTTTCAAACAAAGCCCTTCCTGAACAGGCTGCCTATGAGTACCCCATCACTGGGGGAATTTGATAATACACTCTATGAGTGGGATAGTGTACTAGTGAAAGAGTGCACACTACCTGGCACATGTGAAAAGTATTGGGGAAATAACTTTTTGGACAATGAGATTGGATGGTTATTACTAAGCATCATTAAACTTGGGAAAAGACTGCAAAAAGATATGCATTTTAAAGAGGCTCTCATTTCTTAAAATGGTTAGACAGAGTTGAGGACTTAATTATCAATTTGAAGGAAATCTAGAGAATGTTAAATTCCCAATGAGGTCCATTTTTCAGGCTTAAAGTTTGGGGTAGGAAAAGAATGAGACCCATGCATGGGATGGGAAAGGTTGTAAATATAATCCCCCCTCAAATTTTGAGCATCCAGACTCCTCTGAAATTGTTGACTCTACAAAATGATCCAGGCCTATCACTTCCCCCACCCCACAGTTTGAAATGGCATGAAGATATTTCAGAAGCTTGTTTCTTGTAACACAAATTGCATCCTCATTAGGATCCACCCACCCCTTTTGGGAACTAGCTGGAACTAGATTTATAACAAACCACAAGATAACCAGGGATATGCTGGACCTTTAAGAGGCAGTAAAGGAAATATTCCCCAACATAGGTGCAGTTTCTAGCCCCAGCAGTTACTGCCAGAAGCAAGAGAGTGTGAATGGGACTGGATTCTGCGAGTAGTGCTCAATCATAAAATTGGTTAAGGAGGGATTTATTTTTTAGGGATCACTGTTTTGGGGTACAGGATTTAACATTCTGGCAAAGATCCTAGAAGATAGTAAAAACTTTGTACTAAAATATCCTGTACAAGTCAGAAAAATCATAATGGCTGACCTTATCTCTGACATAGCAGATAGAGGTAAGAAGGAGAAAAAGGCTGAGGGAAGTGAAAATACTAGAATTTACATACTACATGTACAAGGCCAAGTGATTAAGACCAAAGGTAAAGTGCAAGGCCAGCAGGAAAGCACAAGGGAACATGCTAGCCAGAAGGATACTAGATTCAGGACAAATTTCAATGCTGGTTTTCTCTGCAAGCCAGGGATGATAATAGAGGAAGACATTACAGAACTGTGTCCTCTGATAACAACATCTCAAACAATCAAGACAAGACAGAAAACAGATAGATGAAATTATTGTAATAAGCAGTAAGGACAGAGTATCAGACAAGGGTACATCACCTACAGAGGGATGAGGGAGAATATGATTTCTGTAAGTAGCCAACCATGGTATACTCGATTTGTGCCATCAAAGGAAACTTTTGAGAATGGATCATAAGATTGGATTGGATAGCCAGGAGATTGAGGAAAGTTAGCTCAATAAATGTAATAATTCTACATCCACATTCTCAACCTATCCCAATAATTAGAGTTAGAACTCATTGAGTTAAGTAAGAGTGAAGGCCTCAGAAAGAAAATCACATAACACCTTGGCAAATGTACCTGTTAACAGTTCCTTTAGAATGTCCCTAAATGTACCTGCATTTGATCGAGCTTTTCTTCATGGGGAGAAAAGGAAATAAACATTGTTAAAAATGGTGGGTACAGAGTATGAATTGGCATGGATATACAGAAACCCAGTGTAATCCTGTATCCCTGTCAGAATGATGTGCAGGAGGCAAGGAATGTAATAATCTTGGCCGTACGTCAATTTACAGTGAATTTACTGGGTGGTTGTTCCTCAGCCTTAGCCTGTATAATTAGGGTATGTGTAATGAGTAGTTTGTGCAGTCCCCTCACTGAGATCTTGGCCTATTTTAGAAAACCTCTGTAACCATCGTCCCCTCCCAGAAGTTAAAGTTAGTGCTAAAGATCTAAAGGATCCAGGGGTGGTTGTCTATATAATATCTACATTTAATTATTCAAAATGACCCCTGTAGGAACTTTGAAGATAATAGTAAACTATTTATTTCAAATGTAATCAAGTAGCTGTCTTAATTGCACTCACTGTGCCAGATATGTGCCTATGCTAGAACAGATTAACATGGCTTCAGATATGTAGCAGGAGTGTATCCTTTGATTTGGCAAATACATTATTTTCTATTCTTATTTGAAAAGAGGATTAGAAAAAGTTTACACTCACATAAAATAGATAATGGAATTCATTTAGAATTTTGCTCCAGGACTATGTTTATTCCCCTGTCTTCAGTCATTCTATAGTAGAAGAGGTTCGGACATACCAGAAAATATTTAATTGGTCCACCCCACCAATGATTTTATACTAAACAGGTTAAATAAGCAAAGCATAGCTAGCATGCTAGAGGACAAGGTAAAACACATGTGCTAACAAGGTGAAGAGGTCGACTTTTGAAATATTTAAAGACCTTCACATCACTGAAATGTTTAGTAATCCAATGTTCAGAGGGATGCCCTGATACCCACTACAAACTATAAGACAAACTCTTGTATCTTGCATATCCTGTGACAAAGAAGTACACCTGTTAGCCTTTTTGTATTCTGGTGGCAGTATAGATAGCATGGGGGAAGTAACTACCCCATTCCATTTACTGGGTGTGATAAAAGGTTACTAATATTTAATAAAGTGCAAAAGTAGTAAAGGGCACTGCAACATGCCCAGCAGAGATGCAAGTATCTCTGCCCTTTGGGTCATAAAACGCAGCAGATCCTATAATGTTGGATGAGTTAGATTGTAAGAAAAAATTCCATATGGTCTATAGCAAGCCTATTTGGGAGAATAGCAGTACATGCCATGGAGTTCCTGAGCAAGCTTACCATCTAAAGTGGGTAAAGAAATATACAGCTTTGACAAGACAACTCCTGGTATGTTCTTGGCCCTGCAGAGATAGAGAATCTGACTTGAGGACACCAATTGATGACTGTGTGGTCAAAACTATGCATCATAGGCTTAGTTATGTCAGTTCCATGAAGTTGTATGGGTAAATAGATGGAAGTCATTAATCTGGATTCTAGCACAGCAAAAAGAGAGCACATAAGAAACATCCATGAGCAGGAAATCCAAAAGAATATGTCCTTCTCTCCTCTTACATCTTTGCTTTTCTCTCCTCTCACATCTATGGGTATATGAGATTTTATTATGTCCAACTGACACAGTAGGAACAAATTTAGGCTTGTTTTACAGAGGATTTAGTGTAGTAATTGGTTGTAAACTACACACTGCAACTTCCCTCGGGAGTGGTTTTGAAAGGTACTAATTACCTGGCTATACAAAGGATCCTGCTGGGTAGTGGGAAGCCTGGATGTAGACACACTGGAAAATTAGACAAAAAAGCTCTGGGATATAAATATGTGGGGATACAGAAGTGAAAAAGAAATGTGAAGATCTATGTATTAATCAACCAGGTCAACACCCATCAAAGAGCATCTACCAAGGAAAATACACAACCAAATAAATGTAATGACTTAGTCAGTTTACATCAGCCAATATCCATATTGTCTGTTCCAGGGCCTGAGGATGGATGCCATCTAGACTTTATTTCCTTTCCTTCCTACTTTTGAAATAGTTGATTTGTTTCTGAGTTTAGCTTGTCCTTTGTGAGTACTTGTGTCACCTAGTCAAGCATAAGGAAGACACATTCTGTTTCTTTACCTCTTTGCCTAAGACAATACGTTCATTTGGGCCATTATCTCTCTTTAACTTTATTGAGAAGATAGCTTCTTCAAAACTTGCACCATCTCATAGCCTGCATTTTCACCTTTTTGCTTCTGATAATAGTTTTCTTACTACCTAAAGCTGAACTCCAATCCCAAGGCCACATATTGTAGGTATATATTATAGTCACACTCCAATTCTAGTTTCTAACTCTTGTGTATAATGAAATGGAAATAATACCCCAAAACTTCAAGATTAATACACAGCACAACTATGTAATATTCCATAATGCCTCCAGTATAACACTTACCCCCCCCCCACTTAAACACTAAAACATTGATGATTTCCTGTCAGAGAAAAAAAGAGAATATGGTAAACCATGTATTAGTTCAAGGGGTTACTGACCATAAGTGATATGCCTCAACTTTTTCATTTCATTACAACTTACAAGGTCAAACCTAATATTCATTGGACTAGTATTTGCTCTCACAGGGAGGGACAACAACTTGTTTTTAACCATTATACAATTTACTATAATAACTATAATCATTTTCTATAATGCATTAAAAACAATTATTGCTCTCTGCTTATATTGACAGGGTACAAATGCATGGTAAAGTACACAATTATTTTTGAATTAGAGTTTCATTAGGCTGTCATTAACAAAAATTTAATTTAAATCAAAAATGATAAGTGACATGTTTGCATTTTAAGGTGCTCAAGGTGCTCCTTTTGCCTGTTTTAAAGCAGTTAATTCTCTGCGTGACAGATATGGAGAATGTGGTTTTAAAAATTTGCAACCATTACCTTGTGAACAGAAGTACGTATGTAGAAAATAAATGTTTCTTTGAATTATAAAAATTATATATTTTTTATCAAGATACACTAAAAATAATAACATAAAAAAGAAAAAAGAAAAAAAAAAGATATACTAAATTGTAATGAACAGTAAATTATAAAACAGGACAACGTTTTCAAATACCAATATGTGTATTTTTCATCTCTGTTATTCAGGGTTTTCTTTTTATTGTTTCCTTCTTATGTATAGTATCATCCTAAAAAGAGACTGGAAGAAAGAAAGATAATACTTATTAACAGAGGAGGATAGTGAGCACAAAGTGCAAAGAATTAGAACTACTATATACTGTCAATTAAAACTGATTTTTATAACATGTTTAAATGGAATTAAATAATTACAACGCAAATGCTTTGACTTTTAGATATAAGATTCTTGAGAAAAAAGTTTTTGTTGTTATTTATTTCCAAAACATTAACCTGTAAAGTATGGAAGTACATATCAATAGCTGAATTTGTACTATTGGGACATAGTTTTACTATAAGCCCCATAATAAAGGGATTTGTAAAATCTTATATCCAATAAAGGAAGTGCCTGCTACATAAGAAATACTTCCTGAATTTCATTAAACATAAGGAAAAATAAAAGTATCACACACATACAAACAGCCAAGCCAGATTAAAGAAATAAGGGAATTGGGAGAAAGTATAAAAGCATTTAAATAAGCTCAAGTATTTAATAGAGAAGCAGGGCTTTCTTCTAACCTCCAAGACATAGCCAGGAAAAAATTGTAAAATCTTTAGGTGAGCACCATACTCACATACTCAGCTTGGTTCACAAGTAATATGGTTCCTCCATGAAGGTAAAAGATAGGTTTAAAGGTAGCTAGTTGTGTAAGACTAAAATAGTATTCTATACCACCCCTCTCCACACATGAAATTACCATGGATCATGTACTATTCATTTCATGAAGAGAATGTAGAATTTCCTGCATGTCCCAACACAGAAGCACTAGTGGATGGAAAGTGGAGACCTGGAATCACAAAGGCAATGCTGATGAATGCAGAGCACATGAGGGGACTCTGTATAATATAAATGAAAATGTATAACCAGCCACACCTGTTGGACACCAATACAGAGCACCAGTGACCAGGCAGACTGAATTATACCACAGTGGCACCCAATAAAAACAGAAAATGTGGTACACCAGCTGCACTCAATCTCTCTGCTGCCTTTGATTTAAAATTATTCATGGAAAAAGGAAAAGGAAAGTTTGGAGAAACTGAAATTTACTAAACATGACTTCTCTGGACTTTATCTTATATAACAGTACTTTTCCTGAAATGAAAACTAGATGAGACTGGAATTAAATAGCATAAATTATCAGATGAAAGCATTCATGATTAATTTTCAGAAAAGAAAAACAAGTTCTGAGAATTTAACCATAAATGAAAAATTTGGGGAAAATGGACTTTGAAGTAAGAGTATATACCCCTAGGCCAAACTAGAAAGAGACATACAAGGCAAGGCTGGTTTAAAGTATATTTCATACAAAGAAAGTACAATAAAAATTTAAAGACATATTTAGACTTGAGAAACAGGAAAAAAAATATCCTGGTAGGAATAAGAGATTGGAAAGTGATTTAAGTTTTGGCTATCAACCTCATTTCATTCTGTACTTCTTCTTGATATCATAAGCTAACCTCTCTTGATACTAAAGGACTCAAAATGATCTTTTATGAAAAATGGGCAAAATTTTATGATAGAGGAGTTTTTTATACAAAATAATATTGGCAGGTTCAATATATACTTGTAAATAGCTAAAAACAATTATTTTCATTGAGGATGATATGTGATAAATAGAGTTGTGTGATTCTAAGAGTGAGAAGTGTCATAGTCTAATTTTTAGAGCATAGCCTGGGAATACTGTAAGCTTCTTAGAGAAGTCAGTGTTTTACCCAATGATAGATTATCAATGGCAAAATAGAGTGTCTATGAGATACTCTTTGTTGTATTTGTGGCATGGAAGAGATCTAAAAGTTCCTAAATTCCTAAAGAATATATATATTTATTTATATACCCTGGAAATATCTGTGTTGGGGGAAATTTGGCCCTCCCAATAGGTGCAGAAAACACATTTGACAAAATTCATTATCCTTTTCTGATTAAAACACTCAAGAAAATAAACATAGATGGGACATTTCTTAAACTTGTACATGCCATCTACAACATTGTATTGAATGGAGTATAACTGAAAGCATTTCCACTTACAACTGGAAGCAGACAAGTTGCTTTCTATAGCCAATTGCTGTTGAACATAGTACTGGAAGGCATAGCCAGCTCAAACAGAATAGAGAAGAAGATAAAGGGTATTAAAATTGGCAGAGGGAAGGTCAAACCATCACTCTTTACAGATGACAAGATCTTATACTTGGAAAACCACCAGGGTCTCCACCACAAGGATACTGGAAATGACCAAGGAGTACAATAACATCTCAGGAAACAAAATCAATGTCCACAAATCAGTAGCCTTCATATACACCAATAACAGTCAAGCTGGGAATTAAATCACAGATACAATACCCTTCACAGTAGCTTCAAAGAAAATGAAATACCTAGGAAAATGCCTAAAAAAAAGAGATGAAGGACCTCTACAAGGAGAATTACGAAACCCTAATAGAAGAAATAGCTGAAACTTCCATTAATAAATGGAAGAACATACCATACTTACAGCTGGGAAGAATCAACATTGTTAAAATGTCCATAGTACCCAAAGTGATCTACAGATTTAATGCAATCTTCATCAAAGCACCAACATAATACTTTGAAGAACTTGAAAAAATAGTACTTCATTTTACGTGGAGCTCAAATAGCCAAAGAAATTTTAAGAAATAACAAATCTAGAGGCATCACATTACCATCCTTCAGGTTATGCTATATGTTTACAGTGATCAAAACAGCATGGGGCTGGCACAAAAATAGAGCTATAGATCTGTAGAATCAAATAGAGAACTTAGAAATGAATCCAGCCATGTATCACCACATGACCTTTGATAAACCAAACAAAGAAATTTGGGATCCAAAAGAAGAGAATATATACTGAAAAAAAATGTGCTATCTAAAGATCATAACAGACACGGGAGGAGTCAGGCAAGATATCAGACTAGAGACATTTCCTTGCCAGATATTCCTGGTGACATGGGGGAAAGTAGTCTTCAGCCACCTCTGACTGAGGGAATCTGCACAGAAACATCACTCTGGGGGCACAATGAAGCAGCAGGAGAATTCAGGAACCAACAAGGAGGTCTCAAATTGAGGAAAATTGATGCAAAAGGCAGGTGCTTGGTAGGGACAGAGGCCAACTGGTTGCCTGGCTCTCCCATGAATGTCTGGGGATGGAAACTGGTTGTTCTCCAGTATTTCGATTTTTGACTGGACTACTCACTGGTGCAGCAGAGACTTGAACAACATCTGGTGGCTAGGGTTCAACTCCAGGTGCAGTGATTCTGCCATCGGCTTGGCTGCTGGTGGGGCAACACCATTGTGGGAAGACCACTTGCCTGGCAGGACCTGTTCATTTGGTCCTAGTGTACAACCAGCTCTGATGTGTCTGCTGAACTTGACCGGCCATTCTTGAGGTGAGCTGAATGGCCCCCACATTCCCAAGGAGGGCTTCTTTTGTTGTCAGGAGACACTCTGACAGAAATCAGGAAAGTATGGCAAAATCTTTAGGACACCAGTCCTTTGAGGACTGAATGCTGACCAAATGAAGAGGCCCAGATTGAGGGTTAAGAAGTCAGGAAGACAAGATCAGGTCTCCTTACAGACAATGGCTTTCAACCCCCACAATACACAGAAAATCCAGCGTGCAGTGTTTGCCGGCTTCTAACACCACAGCGCCTCCTGGTGTCCAGATAATACATTGCATGACATATATCAAATACATATTTTATACATTTTTTGCTTCTTTTCTTATTTTTTCCCTAGTTGTTTTCTTTATTTTGTTGTTAATTTTGTTTAGTTTTTGTTTTGTTTTGTTATTTTTTCATGTCTACTTTTCTCAATAGCAAGAGCTCCTCCATTTTTGTTAGTTGTTCAACCCCTTTTATATTTCCTTTCATTTCTCTTCTTTTACAACCATCAAAATGGGAAAAGATATTTTCAGGGTATTAATCTAACAAAAAGTTCCAAACTTATACTCAAGGTAGACCTCCCATTTGATCCTGCAATCCCATTATTAGGCATCCACCCAGAAGAAAAAAATTATTTTATCATAAGGACATTTGCACTAGATTGTTTATTGAAGCTCAATTTACCATCTCCAAAATGTGGAAACAACCTAAATGCTCACCAACCCAGGAATGGATTAACAAGCTGTGGTATATGTATAACATGGAATAGTATGCAGCTCTTAAAAAGATGGAGGCTTTACTTGGATAGAGTTGGAACACATTCTCCTTAGTAAAGTTTCACAATAATGGAGGAGCAAGAATTTATGTAATCAATTCTAATATAAGCCAGTAGATGATTTAATGCATACCCTCATAAGAGAAAATTTCAAATCAATTCAATATGGGTGGTGGGTGAACAAGAGAGAACAGAGAAGGGAAGAGTGAAGGCACGGGGTGAGGGGGCGTTTACAGTATATGACACACCTCTTGGGGATTAGACACAATTATAAGAGGGACTGCACCTAAGAAATACAAACAGAGTAACCCCCCCCCCAATGAACCCAAAACAATAAAACAAGAGCAAACAATCCCATCTATCACTGGGCAAGAGACATGAACAGAACCTTCTCTGATGATGAAAGATGAATGGCCAACAAACACTTGAAAAAAAATGCTCATCATCCTTGATCAACAGAGAAATGTAAATCAAGACCATCCTGAGATACCCCCTAACACCAGTGAAAATAGTTCATATCACAAAGCCTTAAAACTACAGATGCTGGTGTGGGTGTTGAGAGAGAGGGACACTTTTACACTGTTGGTGGGACTGCAAACTAATCCAGCCTCTTTGGAAAGCAATATGGAGGGTCCTTAAAGAACTCAAATTAGACCTCCATTTGATCGCACCATCTCCCCCCCCAGTAAGTATCTACCCAGAAGATAAATATATTATTTTATCATAAAGACATTTGCACTTGAATGTTTATTGCAGCTCAATTTACAATTGCCAAGATGTGTAAACAACCTAAATACCCATCAACTCAGTAATGGATTAACAAGCTGTGTACTATATGTATACCATGGAGTACTATTCACCCATAAGAAAGGATGGTGACTTTACATCATTTTTATAAACCTGCATGGAGATGAAACACATTCTTCTTAGTAAAGTATCACAAGATTGGAAAACCAAGTATCCAATGAACTCAATTTTATTATGAAGGCAGTAGACCATCTAAACATACCTCCACATAGGAGAAAACCTTAGTTCTATTCAAGTTTGGGGGAAGGGATACTAGCAAAGGGGATTGGTGAGCTCCCACTTTAAAAGGTACTATGTAGGGTTGTATGGCATACCTTTTGGGTGCAGGACACAATTAAAAGAGGGACTCTACCTTAAAAAATCAGAAATTGTCATCTGGTTGTTTGTACCCTTACAATAAGCTAAAATTTTTTTCTAAAAATGATAAAGATCATGGGCAGTGCCTGTGGCTCAAAGGAGTAGGATGCCGGCCCCATTTACCATAGATGGTGAGTTCAAACCCAATCCCAGCCAAAAACTGCAAAAAAAAAAAAAAAAAAAAAAAGATAGATAAAGATCATGACAGAGTTCTTAGGTGTAATTAAAATACAGAGAAAGAGTAATGCAATTAGCAGCTTTCTAGGGACCAGATTGGCCAAGCTATATTGCAAAAAGTTTCCTAATGAATGTGGTAAAATAAAAGTGCTATACAACAGTGGAACCTAGAAAACAAAGTTGAGCTCTATAAAATGAAATGAAGTCAAATCTTTACATCTTAAGTGTATACATTTAAATTATGCTACAATGCCAATTAGTATAGATGGATTTAGTTGTTTTGCACCATAAAATAATTTTTTTTTATTTTTATATTTGTCAGGTTTTATACCATAAACTAAACAATATTTATGTTATCATCCTTGTAATACTTAATAGGAAACTAGTATCATTACGAGATAAAATGATAAATAATTTTCTGCTTTGCATTTCCAGGGATATTCTCTGTGGAAAATTAGCTTGTGTTTGGCCACAAAAAAATACATATAAAAATGATGTTCATTCTGCAGTTTACACATATATTCAAGACTATGTATGTCTATCTGTTGCCACTGGGTCATCCATGAGATCAGATGGAAGAGATAATGGTTATGTTGCTGATGGCACCATGTGTGGTCCACAAATGGTAACAAAACACTATAATGTATATATTCTGTGTCAAATTATGTTATTTATCAAATACTGTGTTCAATGATGACTACCGTAATTACATTGAATGGATTTAAACCTAGTGCTGGCATTTATTTTTCATATGATATTGGAAAGATAATGAAACCAAACCCATTATCCAATGACATTGCTTTTTGGATTAAAATGTTAGTAGTCCTTATGTGAAAAATACACCTATGTGTTTTAAGCATAAGATTTCACTAATTGGTGACTTTTTAAAATAGCTATAATATAAACTCTAATAGCTTTAAATCATAAGATTCTAATGCAGAATTTGCAATTCTCCTTGCTCTAGAGAAAAACACAATTGCCCTTACATGTTTCTAAAATTATCTGCTCATATTTCTGATCAAAGTGTGAGAAGTTTGGAAGAAGCCATCAAAAATCTGTACTAAGAAAGCTTGGTTGTAATAGATGCACAAACTCATGTACATACTCATACATGCACATGTATGAACTTCATGAAATCATAAAATAAAGGGAAAACAAAAAGGACACAGAGACTTAGTAGTCAATGTGGAGGTGTGAGAATACATATTCTATGTAACATAATAACATAAGGCATCTGACATATAAAGCAGCAGTTGTAAATAGTGTATTTATTTAAATGTCATTCAGTACCTACTTGCTGAATAAAAATAAAACATGAAAATGGTGAGTCAGTGAGTCAACTGTTATTTCTGGGGTCAGCAATCCTAATACCTGAGGAAATTTCCTAATCCCTTCCTATTTCCTGCTGTTCACTCTCTTGTGTAATCCGTTCTTTTTCCTGTAGGTTGCTTCTAATGACATATTTCTAAAAAATAGAATATGGCAAAAGTTACAGGGTGCCACATATATGAATAAGGTTAGAAATAAGAAACAAGGTGAGAAAAGACAGTGATTTCTGTTTTGCACGGACTTCTTTCTCTTGCCTTCTTAGATTGCTTGCTTTGCTGAAACGAGCTGCCATCATAAGGAAGGCCACAAGAAAAGCAAATGTAGGCCAGTGAAAATCTGAGGACCTCAATCTAATAGCCATGAGGGATTGAATTCTGCCCAGAAACCACATGAGCAAGCTATGAAAAGCATGTCTTCAAGTCACACCCTGAAATGAGATAGCAGTCCCAGACAACATCTTGCTTATAAATTCATTAGGAGATGATAAGCAGAGAACACAAACAAGATGTGCTCAGCTTCCTGACTCACAGAAACTATGATATAATAAATAGATGTTGTTCAATGACATTCATTTTCATGACAATTTGTTATACAGCAAGTAACTAATAGAGATTTTGGCACCTGAAAATACGGTACTGCTGTAACAAATACATGAAATGGGGGTGACTATAGAGCCAGGCAGTGAGTGAGGACTGGAAGAATGCTGAAGACCATGCTCAGACTTCCTGGGACAGACTTGCTGGTAGAGATGAAGTTGTAATTAGGAATGTATTATTGGAGACTGGATGAAGAAGGATTATTTATAATTTAGTGGTAAAAAGCTTAGTACATTCTTTTCTGTAATTTGTAGAAAGTAGAAGATAGACCTAGTGAACATAGCTCCAGGTTTCTTCTTACTGATTATAATAAAACACAAAAGGAGGGAAAATCAGAGAACAACTGTTAAACAAAAAGTAACTATGACCTTAAGATGTTGAAAATTATCAGCATCTCCAGAGATGCTCAAGTTAGAAAATAGATCCTATGCATTGTCAGGAAAATGTGGCCTGGAGAAAAAGCCAAGAGTAAGGCTAGACAAATGTTAATTATTAGTCAATTAATTTGATCTCAAAAATATCAGAATTATTCAATTATATCTTTACTTATCAAAAATAAGTAAAGGTGTGCCTTACAAATCCTCTAAATTAAAAAATTGGACCTTTAGAAGTTTTAGACTCAGAGCTTTGTACTTCAGCCATCTCAGCAAAAGTTCAAGGTAGAAAAGGACTTATTTCAAAGATGTCTGTGAGTGTTACTTTCATTGAAGGTGAACACTAAAGAGTTCTCTGGGAGGCTCCCAATTTAGGATAAATATCAGCAGAAACACTTTCAGCAAAAATGAGAAGACACAGAGAATACAAAATGAAAAAAGGCTGGGGGAAACCCCCAAATTGTACCAGTAAGAGGCAAGCTGAGAGATAGTTGTTCATCTGCAAATACACACTGCCTTTTATGAAAAAATGTATGAAAAATGAAGGAATGCTTAGAGCAATGTTTTTCAACCTTTTTATCTCATGGCACACTTGAACCATTAATTAATTAACAAAATTAATTAATGATCTTTTGAGGCACACCTAAGATCCTCTCCCAGTACACCAGTTGAAAATCACTGCCTTAGAGCAGGCATCCTTAAAGTATGGCCCACAGGCCACTTGCAGCCCACCTAGGACATTTATCCATCCCGCTAGATGTTTTTGCTGCTGCTGCCTGTCCTGCTTGGCAGCCTACTCATCCCAGGACCTGCATTCCAGCCCTATAATGGTCTGAGGGACAGTGAACTGGCCCCCTGTTTAAAAAGTTTGAGGACCCCTGGCTTAGAGGGTCAAGCAAGGGCTGAGAGAACCAATAGACAAGAGAGACAATTCACAGTTAGTTCCTTGCAAACTAACCAAGGAACTCACCCCATGGGCCATGCCAGATGTCAGAACTGCTATAGAGTAGTGATTCCTTTTAACTTCCAATCCATACCCCTAACCCCAAGATTTCAATTAAAATTCTTTTTTTGATTATTTCTTATAGTAAACTATGTACATTAATGCAATCATGGGGTACAGTGTACTGTTTTCACATACATTTTGAAATACTCTCATCAAACTGGTTAACATTCTTATAGAAGTTGCTCTCTGCCTTTCTTACCTTTGCATATTGTTGGTACTGGGAACAGTTAACTATTCCTTAGTTTCACAGATCTACAGATGGAGTTGTCCTCAAGGAATTATACTCCACAGTCTTGTCCACAGCCAGAGCTAAATTAGGTCAAATGAGAGGATTTGAACTGATGAGTGTGGTTTGCATGAGTAAATAATAGACAACATTTGACCATGAATTGTGGCACTTTGCTTTAAATGCCCCCTCACCATGGCCTCACCTTCTCTCACTCATTCGTTTTTATAATATACATCCTCCCAACCCACTATGTGAGGAATGAACATAATGATTTGCTTCCAAAAGTTCAATTATGGGAAAAGAATGGAATGTAGAAATATCATTTTCAACATTAGGTCATAATGGACATCTTCTTCCATAAACTCTCTCTCTCTCTCGCCTTTTTGATTGCTTTCTTTGATAGAGCATGTTACTGTGTGGAAGAGTAATACATGAGCAGAAACTTAGTATAGTCACAGTCCAACAGTCCTTAAGAAAGTGAGGATATTAATCCAACAGCCTGTCAACAACAACATGACATGTTTGGAAGCACATTTGCCTGAATACAAAGTCTTCCCATTAAACTGGCTTGGATTTTAATGGCACCAATGCAAAAGCCTGAAGCAGAAAACCAAGCTATTCCATACTCACAATTCAATGCTCACAGAAGCAGAGATAGTGAACATGCATTGTTTCATTTTCCAAAGATGAGTTTCCAAGAACGTGATTTTGGTTTGCATGGTAAGCATGTGTTTGGTTCTTTAAGAACCTACTATAATCTTTTCCAGAGGGATGAAACATTTCCCATTTCTACCTGCAGTGTGTGAGTGATCAAGTTTCTCCAGACACTCCCCAGCATTTTGGTGTTAGCATTACTTAATATTTTAGCCATTTTTTATATGTGTCCTAATATTTGTACTTTTAATCTGCATTCTCCAGTGATTAATTATATTCAATATCTTATTATCAGCTTATTTATCATCAGTGCACCCTCCTGTTTGAAATGTCTGCTCATATCTTTTGCCAGTTTTCAGTTTGATCTTTAAACATACTAAATGCAAGATTGCAAACATTTCCTTATGTTCTGTAGCCATGGTAAGGGTAGCTGGAACTCAGGTTTCTACAGCTGAGGTAGAGCTAACTAGTCTGGCTAACTAGTCTAAAATATTCCCTCCATGGCGAACATGCCAGGAGGAGTCTGTCCTTGTACTGGGTTCCCTTGTGACAGGGTGGCTCTGACTTTCATTGCAAATTCCCACAATCTCTTCACTCTCCCTACCCTGGGCACATAGATGCTCTCTCCATCCCGCACTGGCTTTGAACGGCCAGGACTGGGGGAGTAGTGGTGTGGATATTGCAAGACTGTCTTTTTTGCCCTCCTCTGTGCCTCTGTCCTTGTTATAATGTTGAAAGCAGGTACCATGACTACTCACCTGATTTTTGATTGTTCTGAGGTTGTTTTCTTGCATGGATAGTTGTTGAATCTGGTATTCCTGAGGAAAAACAATTGCTAGAAGTTTCTCTTTGATTATCTTGCTCCACAGAATACTGTTTTTTATTAGAAATATGTTTTATCAAACTAGACTTCCAGAGTGAATGGCAAGAATACACAAACATGTTCAATTACACATTTGTATACATTTTAATATAATGCTAAGGTATTTTTAATATGTCTGTGGTCTTTTGTATCTGTATCTACAATGTTCTGTTCCTACTCATAAGACAATAAAATAATCTCCATAATATTGTAAACAAATTTATGCATATTTATCTGAATTTGGAAGTGTCATTAAACTGCCAAAAATGGTTATATACTCAGCATCTCAAAATTATTTATGATGCCTACTTTGTCTTTATTGTCTTATCTTGATTAGTAATGTGTAACTTTAGACCAAGTATGGGATCCTGAGAGAACTGGTAGTTAACTTAAGAATTAGTAAATTTCTTATTGATTTCTTATCACCTACTTTTACCATACATATGTTAGCCTAACTTAGACAATGTTATAGTCTTTATATGACGTATACAATTTTCTCTTACTTTTTTTGTTGTGATAAAACATACATAGCATAAATTTATAATTTTATCTGTTTTGCAAGTGAAAAATTCAGTGATATTAAGTACATTCATATTGTTGTGCACCTGTCACTACTATTTGCTTTTGGAATATTTTCCCCATGCCAACCTGAAATTCTGTACCCATTAAAAAATAAATCCTCATTATTCGCCCTTCAGCCCTTGCTAAGTACTATTTTACTTTGAATTTCTATCAATTTGAATACTTTTTGTACCTCGCATAAGTGGAATCACAAAATATTTGCGATTTGTATCTGCTCTACTTCACTTAATGTGATGTTTTAAGATTCAGCCATGTTATAATACTCAAGCCATGTTTGACTTCTGCAATTACAAGAGGTGCTCAAATGTGACTGGTATTCATCTTTTGTTCTGGTATATATTAAGTATAACTTTAATACCTATTTTTTCTTTCTTAAAATGTATATACTTTTTTGGCACCCTCTTTATACACACACACACACACATATACCATTTTGTCCCTTCATTTATCTGTCAGTGGAAATCTACTTTGTTTTTCCCTTTTGGCTACTGTAAAATATTACTGCTGTGAACAGTGGTGTAAAAAATATATATTTGAGTCTCTATTTCAATTTATTTGGTTGTATTCCTAGATGGCCATTTGCTGGATCATATGGTTACCTGATGTTGAACTATTTTACACAAAGGCTGAACATTTTAAAATTTTCCCCATCAATACACAAGGGTTAAAATATTTACACATGCTCACCAAAACTTATTTTCTGCTTTGTTTTTTACTTATAGCAGTCTATTTGGGTGTGTTTTAAAAGTCAGAGATTTTAAATTATTAGTGATTGTGATCATCTTTTCATGTACATACTTGCCATTATTCATTTTCTCTAAAGAAATGTTTATTCAAGTCCTTTGACTGTTATTTAATTAACTGACTTAATTATTTGTTCATTTTTTAAGGTTTAGAATTTCTCTTTGTGTACTGGATATTGTTATTGCCCATGATGTTGGTATCATAACCAAGAAGTCTTTGCTAAATCTATTGTCAAAAAGATTGCTCTTTATATTTTCTTTTGATAGTTTTATAGTTTTAGTTCCTATGTTTATGATTTTTAGTAATTTCAAATTACTTTATCCACATAGAGTTTTAAAGATTCTAATCTCATCCTTTTGCATGTGAATATCTAATTTTCCCAATATGATTCGTTGAAAAAAACCATTCATTTCTCCATGGAATGGCTATAGCAGCTTCAGTGAAAATCATTTGACTATCTATGTGATGATTTATTTCTGGGCTGTCTAATCCAGGCGTCCTCAAACTACGGCCCATGGGCTACATGCAGCTCGCCTAGGACATTTATCCGGCCTGCCAGGTATTTTTGTCACTGCTGCCTGTCCTGCTTAGCAGCCTACTTGTCCCGGGGCCCACAGTCCAGCCCTCCGAGGGACAGTGAACTGGCCCCCTGTTGAAAAATTTTGAGGACCACTGCATTTTATTGGCCAATGTGTCTGTTTTTGTGCCAGGACCACCCTGTTTTCATTACTATAGCTCTGCTGTAAGTTTTGAAATCAGGAAATGATTCTCACAATTCTATCTTTTTTTTTTTTTTTTGAGATCATTTACCTACTTAGGGTCTGTTAAGCTTCCATATGAATTTTGGGATCGATTTTTCTATTTCTGAAAAATGGCTTGGATGTTTATAGAATCTGTATCTATACTATACTGTATCTATAAATTACTCTGGATAGTATTGCCATCTGAACTATATTGTCTTTTAATTCATGAATTCAATGTATTTTTATATTTATTTATGTCTTTAATTTTATCTTCTATAAATTACTACTATTTTTAATTTGCACAAAAAATGGTATGTATTTTATAAAGTGTGATATTTCAATAGATATGTAAAATGTGTAACTCACTTCAGGGTAATTAAAAAATTCATCACGTCTAACATTCAAAAAGACAAAAATAACAAGTGCTAGTAAGAATGTAGGGAAAGGAGAACTCATACATGAAAAATAAATGCATATTAGTAAGGTCATTACGGAAAACAGTATGATAGTTCTTTGAAAACCAAAAATAGAAATATCATATGATCTAGCAATCTCACTACTGGGTACCTATCCAAAGAAGAGAAAATTAGTATGTCTAAGACATATCTGTACCTCACATTTATTGCAGTATTGCACAATAGCCAAGACACGCAATCAATCTAGCAGCCCATCAACAGATGAACAAAGACAATGTGGTAAACATACACAACACTGCATTATTCAACTATAAAGAAGAATGAATTAATGTTTTTCATGTCAATTTGGATGATCGTGGAGGACATTTTCTAAATGAAATAAACTAGGCACAAAAAGATAAATACTACATGTTCTCATTCATATGTGGAAGCTAAAACAGTATCTTTTTTAGCAGTCTTTTACAGTTTTCATTTTGCAAGTCTTTTCCCTCCTTGGTTAGGTTTAGTTTCTAAAATGTTTTTTCTTTTTGATACTATTATAAATACAATTTTTCTTAATTTCCTTTCTGGGTTATCTGCTGTATTCTGCTGTGTAGAAATGAAACTTTTTTCAATCTTAATATTTATCTTGCAACTTTGCTGAATTCATTGATTCATTCTATCAGGTGTGTGTGTTTATGAAGTCTTCAGATGTTTCTACTTCTAAGATCATCTGCATAGAAGATTATGTCCTCTGCAAACAGAGATCATTTTATATCTTCTTTTATAATTGAATGTCTTTTCTTTTTTATCTTGCCTAATTGCTCTGGCTAGGACATCAAGTATTATGTTTCATACAAGGTACAAAAGTGGTCTAGTATATACAATCTATATTTTACTGATTGATTGTATGTTAGAGAAAATAGTTAGAAAAAGCTAATATTCATTTATATTTGATATCTTCATGTTGTGAATGACTTAATCATATGTTTTGCTGATATTTTGGGGGAAAAAAAGTAAAGAAGCTATAAAGCCAGTTACAATAGAAAAAGGTAAAGGACACAAAAAGCCAAATATCCAGGTGACTACCTAATTACCACTGGGACACACACTTTGATATAACAAGGTTTTACAATGGATAAAAATGAAGGGAAAATATTTCTTTTGCCTGATTATTCTCATAAATATCATAATAAAGATTCTTAACAATTTATAAATTATATTTTAAACCTAAAGAAAATTAATTCTCTCCTACTTTTCAAGGGGAGAAATCTGTAACACTATCTCATAGTATAGCATTTACATAATATAGAAAAGTTCTTTGATGGAGATTTCAATTCAATCCTAACTATTGGTATCAAAACTAAAACTATATGTTGTCTTTACATAGACCATGTCAAGGCAAACATCTTCAGACATTTTATTTCTTGAAATTATTATTGTTTAGATTTTTGTATTGAAGTACCAGGATATTTTAACCATAATCAGAATAATATTAATAAAAAATACTTTGACTTTAATATCTTTTATGCATTAACAAATAATGTTTTTTCTTAATATATATAAAATATGTGAATGATTATAAAATGTGTTTGTTTTATTTTAGTTTTGTGTAAATAAAACCTGTCAGAAAGCTCATTTAATGGGATATCATTGTAATGCCATGACAAAATGCAAAGGGAAAGGGGTAAGTAAATTTCCCTTCTATAGTTCTAAATTGCATATTGTTGTGGTTTCTGCAAAATAAACATTAATACATCTGCAAGCATTGAGAGTCTAAATCACTTTTAAGCTGGCATTGTCTAGTCTAGCTGTCTAATATAAAGAAAATCAGTGCAGCTAATTTTAATACTATAGCACTATTAAGTGAATTATGCTAGATATGTATTGTATTTATTTTAAGCACCCACAATTTATGAATCAGTAATATGTTTAAATGAAAAAAATTTAAACACAAATAAATGTATGTTTTCCTTATAAATGAAAAGAATGTATTTTTTCTTATAAATGAAACAAAATTAAACACAAATAAATGTATGTTTTCCTTATAAATAAAAAATAAATGTATGTTTTCCTTATAAATGAAAAAAATTAAACACAAGTAAATGTATGTTTTCCTTATAAATGAAAAAATTTAAACACAAATAAATGTATGTTTTCCTTATATTGTTCTACCCCAAAAGAGTTTGGATACATAATGTATTACAGAGAGTATACTTAAAAAGCATGAAAGAACATGTTGACACATTAGGAAATATTTCTATTCTAGTCAAGAGGCTTCCAATAGGAAATGAAACCGCAGGCAAAAATCTGTTTTTATTTTTTTCTCAATTATTTGTTTAATCTGGCAATATAAATTTGTTGTTACTTTTATGTTGAATTACCATTCCTTAAAATATATAATTTTAGGTCCTTTGTTTTTTCATAAAAGAATATGAATGTAAGATATAGTCAACACTATGTAAATGAGCCCCTATTCAATAGAATTTATTTGTATTTAATTTCAAAATTTAAATAGTTTGGTTCAGAATAAATAAATGTCACTGCATTGTCATTAATCTGCTATTAACTGGTAACAAAGAGATTAGCCACAATTTCCTTTTTTTTTTACTCCTTATAACTATAATTGTTGGCTTTTAAAAAAAATTGTTAATTTTTCTGTTCAAATCTCAAAATAAATTTATACATAGTAGATTTTTAAAACTTTGTTTTATTGAATACAAATTTGTTGTCTTAACCTATAAATTAAGATTAGATTTAGTTATTTTACTTGGACTTTTTGGACATTTTTATAAGTTTTTTATTATTTTATTTTCCATAAAGGAAATACAAAAAACATTATTTCTGTTTGCCACCCCCAACCCCACTCCCCATTGACTTTCTTGGAACCTAGTGAAAGCAGAGGAGGTCAGCATGACAAAGATTCTCACATTCAGCTGTTGTGGGGGAAATAACTGAGGAGACTGGGAGAGGCAAGCCCTCGTACCAGAGTTAAATACTTGCCCAGACAATGCTGCCTTGGCTGCCGCCCTGTCTGAAATCTCGCCAGTCCTTTGATTGTGTTTCAACAACAATCGTTTACAATATAGCATTAGCTGATTTCTCACAATTATTCAGGAATCAAGGAAACTATGTCCCCACACTTGATGTATGGGTGGCCTTACCTGAGAGCTAACCAGAACAATGAGGTAGTAGATGAAAGGTCTGGGTTACAATTAACCTTTGAAAGAGAACATGCATATATTGTAGAAGGGAAGAGACGTGACCTTTTAATCTATACTGCTGATATATTCCATTCAGCCCCAATGGCTGCTTTCTAATCTAATTTGTTTTAATTTGTTCAGAAACAGTTCAGCATTTTATTCTTGGGGATGTATTCAGCTTTTAATATAAGGAGCCAGACTCTTGCATTTATACCCCTCACAAACGCTTTACTGCTTTTTTCTTTATAATTTTTCTAGCCTGTCCCCACATATTTTCATTTCAATTTATATTTATCTACATAGGTTGTATTTCACAAGTAAAATGTTTAAAAAGAAAGACCGTAAAAAACAACAAAATCAAATAAAATCTGACTGAGCCTAGGTAAAGCTGCAGTTTATTCTCCAGTGACATATACAATAGCTCTGTCATTTATAATTCTAGTTCAATTGTATTAGTATGTAGTTATCCAAAAATAATTTGTAAAATAATTTTACTGTTTTTTTATTTTTTATTAAATCATAACTATAAATTAATGCATTTATAGGGTACAATATGCTGATTTTATATACAATTTGGAATTCTTACAACAAACTGGTTAATAAAGCCTTCACCTCACAGACTTAATTATTGTTAAGACATTTATACTCTACTCTTAATAGATTTGACATGTACCCTAGCAATATACACCATAGGTGAGGTCCCACTGATTGCCCTCCCTCTACCAATCCTCCTCCTACCCTTCTCCCTCCTCTTCCCTCCTTCATCTACCAATCCTCCTCCCACCCTTCTCCCTCCTCTTCCCTCCTTCATCCTGGGCCATAGTTGTGTTTTATCTTTCTTATGAAAGTGTGGGTGATTATATATTGATTTCATAATAGTACTGAGTACATTGGATACTTTTTCATCCATTCTTGAGATACTTTACTAAGAAGAATATGTTCAGCTCCATTCATGTAAACATAAAAGAAGTAAAGTCTCCATCTTTTTAAAGGCTACATAATATTCCATGTATACATATACCACAATTTCTTAATCCATTCATGGGTTGATGGGTACTTGGGCTTCTTTCATGCCTTGGAAATTATGAATTGGACTGCAATAAACATTCTGGTGCAAATATCTTTGTGGTAAAGTGATTTTTGGTCATCTTGATATATACTTAGTAGAGGAATTGCAGGATTGAGTGGCAGGTCTACTTTTAGTTCCCTAAGTACTCTCCAATTTTCTTTCCAAAAGGGATGTTTTAGCTTGCATTCCCACCAGCAGTGCAAAAGTGTGTCTTTTTCTCCACATCCACACCAACATCTCTAGTTTTGGGATTTTGTTATGTGGGCTAACATACAAGACTACAAATGTTATAACTACATTATGTGTACTAAACACTTGCTTAGCAACTTTTATTATACTTATTAGCTATCTGTGTGTTTTCTACAGTGAACTTTCCTGATATTTTGCTTATTTTTAAAAACTAAATTATTTGGCTCACCTTATAATTCTAGCATTCTGGGAGGCGTTAAAAGATGGATCACTTGAGCTCAGGAGTTAGAGATGAGCCTGAGAAGAGGATACCCTGTCTGTACTAAAAATAGAAAAATCAGTTGGGCATAGAGGCAGGCACCTGTAGTCCCAGCTACTTGGGAGGCTGAGGCAAGAGAATCACCTGAACCTATGAGTTTGAGGCTGCTGTGAGCTATGACACCAGGACACTCTAGCCTAGGGCAACAGAGTGAGATTCTATCTCAAAAAAAAAAAAAAACAGTTTTGTATTAGGTATGTGTTTTGAAAATATTTTCTTTGAGTTTGTGTCTGTTGTTTCTTTCTCTGAACATTGTCTTTCTCAAAGCAGGTGTGTCTAGTTTTAACTAAGCTTTTATTTTTCTTTCACTGAACCTATTTCAGGTGTTGTATCTAAAAAGTCACTACCAAAGTCAAGGTCACTAAGATTTTCTCCTGTATCATCATGTAGGATTATGGTAGTTTTGCATTTTACATTTAGGTCTATGATCCATTTTGAATTAATTTTTGAGAAAGGTGCTGGGATTCCTTCTTTTATATGTGAAATGTCCTGCATAATTTGTTGAGATATCATATATTTGTACATTTCATACATTTAATTGCCTTTCTCCTTTATTAGAAGCAGTCGAATATATTTTTTATGAGTCTAATACTGGATTCTTCTTTCTGTTAACGTGTGATTGTCTACACATTATTTTGCTTCATCTATGTGAATGAGGTGTGCATCATATCATTTTAGTCCTCTTAAAAAGAATAAAAATAAAATGAAAATTAATACTAAACTACTGAAAGGCATGGAAACATTGTAGAATATAAACTTCTAACAAGGAAGTGTATAATGAAGCTGTATCTAATTGTTCATTTTTAACATTTTCTTTTTGATCTCTTATTTTATTTCAAAAAATATATTCACTTAAAAATAAAATACACATCAGTAGGTTTTATAGTATCAAATACTGAAAAGGGACTAGGATAAGAAATTAAAGTGACCAGACTATTGATGGTAACATTATCACAACACCGTGCACATAAAGTAAAATGTATGAGTAGAAAAGTATTCAAATGGTGATGGCAAATATTTCCAAATTACTAAATAAAAGATAATTCAGTTGTGTAAATATGAAGGCCATAATCTTATTTAATATAATTTTTAAAAGATAATTGTGAAATACAAATTACTTACTAAAATATTCTTTGTATACAGGCTAGAAAGATGTTTTTACATAAGTAGTAATTTCATGATCTTATTAGTTTATTGCCAAAATTTTTACTAATTTTTTAATTTATTTCTCATATTACATAGTCATAATAATCTTAAGAAAAAGTTATATTCTATGAAATTTAGAGATTTACATAACATATAAATATGAAGATGACTCAAGAGATTCTGTATTTTCCCCTCAGATATGTAATAATTTTGGTAATTGCCAATGCTTTCCTGGCCATAGACCTCCAGACTGCAAATTCCAGATTGGTTCACCAGGGGGCAGTATTGATGATGGGAATTTTCCGAAATCTGGTAAGTTGAAATTCAATTTTTAAAACAAAATAGAATGGTCTTTTATATGGAGCTAATTGAAAAAATATAAGAGTTATTTTCAATGGTGGCTTTAGTGAAATTAAAGTAGTCCTTCTTATCCTGGTAGGCATACATTCCAAGATCCAATGGATTCCTAAAACTGTAGGTAATACTAAGCCCTGTGTATGCTACATCCATACTTAATAATTATTAAGTTTAATTTATAAATTATACACAGTAAGACATTAACAAGAACTTCCCTTTCCATGTTTTATGTCCTGGTACCTTCTCCATATGTTTGTGAATATCAATTCTATTGGGCATCTTCTTCTAGAAGAGTCTACTTTCATCACATTTGAAGACTTTCTTTGGGTGGTATCTTTTCTTCTTAATTATCTTCTTCAGCTGTGCTGGAGATGTGGCAGATGCTTTCTCCTTGGAAGATGCAACCTCTGTAGTTTTTATACTTTTCAGTCTAAACCTATTCCTGAATCTGTGTAAACACCCCTTTCTCACAATAAATGATTTCATGTCGTTGTTTTTCAGAGGATTCCCTGCTGCAGTCTGTGTATATACTCAATGTTTTCTGGCATAACACATGGCTATCACTCAGAGCAAGTTTGCTGCTCATGTCTTCCCCCCCCACCCAAACTTAATGCCTTTTCTATGTTAAGTCAGCACTTTTCATGCAGTGTGGACTTAATTTTAGCAGTTTGAGGGCAACAGCAAAAATAGCACAAATTAATTTTTTTTAATTTACAGTTTCACAGACTGAAGATTTTTTCTTACTGTAGATCTTAGCAACATCAGTATGTGTGTGTGTGCATGTGTGTGTATATAATATATAATATATATTTCCTTATTGAGTCAAACTTCCAACTATTCACTCAAAGCAAGAACTTTTTAGCTTCTCTTTGGCATATTCAGATTGAAAGCATCATAATAATACAAATATGAAGTAAATACAATACATAAGTACAATATGCAAATACAATTATGAAGTAAAATAATTTTACTTAAATACAAGCACTGTGATATCAAGACCATTAAAAACCAAGGTGACTAAGTAACTGAGGACACAGTTTATCCAGCATAGATATATTGGAGAAAAACATCTCTCCTCTCAGTGAGATGGAGAGGGATAGAGTGAGATTTTGTCATGCTGCTCATAATAGCATGCAATGTAGAACTTATAAATTGTTTATTTTTGTAATTTTCCATTTAATATCTTCAAACCACAGTTGACTATGGATAATTGAAACTGCAGAAGCAAAACTGCACATGGGGAGGGACTACTATAATGTTAGAAAATATGTGTAATCAGATAATTTAATTAATTTAGTTAAGTAAGTTAGAATACAATATCTTTAAGTTTCAACAAATGTCGTAAAATTAATTTTATGAAAATTATAGAATGAATGTTGCACAAATGATTTACATTATATATTATTTAAAATGTAGATTATCAAAAAAACTGTAGGATACAGTTTCAATCTGAATGAAACTTTTAAAAACATGTAGTAAAATATGTATGCATTTATTATAAAATAATAGTAAATCACATTTTAAAGAATTGAGTACATATTTATACTTTTTCTTCTTACTAATGAAGGCAATATCATAGGCTATTCATTTATTCAACTATTCATTCATTTATACATTTCCTCCACAAACATGTTCCTGTTTGGTAAGGCAATAACATTGAGATTCACATCTCATGAACACCACACAAACAGCAGTGTGGGTAATGGGTTTGCTAATATGTCAGAATAAAGGCAAAGTACTTAGAAAGGAGTAGACTTAATTTTAAAGGCCTGAGTAGATAATGGAAAAAAAAATAAATCAGTTGCTACATAATAACAAATTTTTGTGAAAAATAATAAGGCATGCTGATTAATAGCATTCCACATATGGTAAAGAATTATTAAGTCTTATATCAAAATTTGCATTAAAAATATCAGAGTATAGAAAGAACATAAAGATAATGAATTTATTTTTTGATAGAGATTGGGTCATCTGAGGGAGAATTCATGTGACGCTCTCACTGAATGTTTGATATTGGTGTCCCTAACTCATTAGGGACACGAAGGCTTAGTAGTCCTTAGTTTATAGTCAATTTAAAAATCAAAGTACTTCTGAGAAGCCAAGATGGGTGGATTGCCTGAGCTCATGAGTTCGAGACCAGTCTGAACATGAGCAAGACTCCATCTCTAAAAAATAGCAAGGCATTGTGACCATTTTGGTAAAATTGTATAGTGTGAGTTGAGACAAAAAGAACTCCGTATAACTTCAGGAAGCAGAAGTTTTTCATGAATATAACCTCTCATATTATTGATAACCATTAAAAGAAAGAGAACTAAAAGGAGTAACAGAAAATATTTCTGTTTGGGGCCATGGCACAGTATTACTAGATAATCAAAGAAAGTATTTTTCAGAAAGTAAGAGTATCTGACAGTGATCTTTGAGAATGGGAAACGTGATGAATTGCATGTTTGTGAAATAGTTTCAGTCACTCTTGTTCTATGTACTTGAAGAAGGAGAAAGAGAGATAATATGCAGTAAAGATATTCGAAAAAACAAAGGCTCAATATTTTGCTAACATGGTGGAAGGACTCAAAACTGAGATTCAAGAAACTGAATAAACCTCAAGCAGGATAAATAGAAAGAAATTTATCCCTAAGAAAATCAAGTTGCTGAAAACCAATGTTAAAGAAGATTTAACCAATGTTAAAGAACAATTTTAAAGCAGCTCAAGTCTGATAGCCTGAAGTATACAAGAAAGAGGCCAGCATATCTTTTCAAAAGAAACTGAAAAATATCAAAACTGTGACATTACTCTGGAGATTAACCCAACCCACGCAAATTAAAAGGGATTGTTTATGAGAACTATTTCTATTGACAAAGGTACAAGTCTACAGCATTCTTCCCTTAGGCTGATCCTATATGCTTTGCCCAACTATGTCAACATGGTCATTCAGTATGTGAAAAGCACTAATTGTGCTGCCATAGTGTCAAGATGGGGTATTGGGAAGAATGAAATTGCTAAATTTGTCAGAATATTATTGATTACCTTTGCAGTTATGTTGTTGTGATGAGAAAGGGTTGTTCAGGACAAAGACAGACCAGAAAACAAATAAGAATTTAACAGAGTGCCTGTGAAACTAGAACATTAAAACTCTTTCATGTATATGGAGAAATTTAGACAGCCACATGCAAAACTAGGATAAGCATCATGCTAGAAAATGCCTAAGAAGACCATAAACTGTCCCCAAATGCTAATTCCTACACTTAATGAAAACCTACCTTAGTGTAAAAGGAATGGTTCAGCACAAACTCAACCTGAAATAAATAGAAGTGTTGGTTTTTGTTCCACCAACCTTTGGGTATGTGATTATAGTTATCATCATTATCGTTATTATTATTTTAAATTTAGCTCCTGTTTTTCAAGAAATCATTGCTAAAACACTACCTGAAGGAAAGCTAAGGGAATCAGGGTTCATCTGACTTCAGTTACCACAATGGCAAAGAATGCAATCTTTGTAAAAATAATCAGAAAAATCACTAAATAAATGGATTACTGAAGTCTTCAACAATCAAAAAAAAAAAAGAAAAGGGCAAATTCTGAGTATGGAGTTAAGGGGCGAGTCATGTTTTAGGGTTTCTATGTTATAATAATCACATGTCCAATTTTCAACATATAAACAAAATTAACAAGATTTCAGTAGCAAATAGGAAAGGATGGCCTATTTACAGGAATAAGACTACTTAATAGTAGCGATGCTTGAAAAAGATTGAAAATCCCAGACTTACTAGACAAAGTCTTTAAATCACTATTTTAAATATACTCAAACACCTAAAGGCAGAAATGAACAAAGAACTAACGAAAGTCATGAAAAACATGTGTAGATAAAATGAAATTACCAGTAGAGCTAGAAATTATAAAATGAAAGAAAAAAAATAACTGAAGTGAAAATTTTACTACAAGATTTCAAAGGCAAGTAGGGAGAGGCGAAACAAGATGGTGGAGGGGATGCATCTCTGGATCAACTTTCCTCAGAGGCTTCAGGTGAGAGTGAGGGATTTGGACCTTTCCCTGCATGGAGTGTTGGCAGAGACAAGCAACACAGGGTGTTCAGCAAAAAGTGGATTGCTGGACTGCAATGGTAACCCAGAACCATGGTATCTGCCAGAGAAAACTTGGTGCCACAGCTGAAGTGGAGCCAGCCACTGTGGCCGGTGGCCTGAGGTGGCAGCAACCAATCCCTCCTCCATGGAGGACTACTATTCCCAATTTGTGGGGAGTTTAGGTGTTTTGTAGAGAGTGTGGTGCAGCATGGACTCCCGAGTGGAATTTGGCAACCAGAAAGGGGAGCTGTTTGGACCCCATTTGGAGCATTAGGGGTCTAGGCAGCCAGACAGAAAATTGAGGGTAAAGGATCTCACGTAGGAAACAGATGCACTTTGTAATGTTAGAAAAGTCTTTATGGCACTGCGCTGAAGAGGCAAGCTACAATGGCAACCAATCCCTCCCCCACAGAGACTGAAAAGTCTTTTGCGCTCAACCCTGAATCCATGGCCATCAGCAGCAACCATTCCCTTCCCCATGGAAGATTACAATTTCTGGTTTGAGGGGAAAATAGGAGGTGAGTACAAAATATGGTGAAGCGTGGACTCCTGTGCTGAATTTAGAGAGCAGATAGGGGTGCCCTCTGGAACAGGACAGCCAAGGCTGGGTGGCCAGTCAGAAAGTAGATATATTGTGAAACTTCAGAAATGACATCTCAATAGCACCTCTTCCTACGGGCCAGGTGCGGCGAGTTGAACCTCACCTACAGGCAGTCATCCTGCACTGACACTGCCCGATCGGCGGGCGGTGTAGGGAGTTCGTGATCGGAGTATGAGAGGGAGAAGGAAAGGGTGGACACAATCACACAACCACTCATACAGTATAGGAAGAAGGCTGAGCCGAAGCTGTTTATTTGGGATCGCTACAATCTTAT